CTTTTATGAAGCAGGATTAAATTTGGAATATTTGACCCACACAATATTCTTGGACTATTGAATTTAGAAATCAAATGTGGCGATTAGAGTACATGTGAGATGTGTTTAGTTTGAAAATAACATTTAATCCCTAAGTAGCATTCTCAGACATTTTTATTTATAAGTTTATCATGTTTGTCAGAGCACATGTGAGATTTATTTTAGCATAGAGATCAGAACTATTACAGGGTACTTGAAATTTTGTAGTGAATCTTTGAAGCATACTCAGATCTTACATTTATGAACATTATAAAAATATCGGAATAAATACAAAAGATCAAATTTCTTATTAAATTAATATGCATGTTTCTCAAGGTAGTGACTCACTTATAAAGGTTAAAGTATATTTCTCGAGATTGTTGCTTGCTTTCCAAGATTGTTGCACACTCTTAGAGGCGTCAGTATGTTTCTCGATGCATAAAATTTAAATTTATAAAAATATATTTTAATGCATGAAGGGAATTTTAAAATATTTAAATATAATCAATTATGTAAGTGATTATCATTAGAAAGTGCACAAGATTTCATTTGACATTCAAGAAATACTTATTGTCCGCTTGTATGAGTGTTGCAGATCCGCGGGCATGCAGACAACTTAGATTTCCGTTATAGTACAGAGAATATATATTGTATAGTTTATTTTATCCTTTACATTAGAAAGTGCATTGATTATTATGAATCTCCTATAAATTAGTTGTGTGTACTACAAATTCTTTGCTTCTTTTCACAAGTGAATTGTAGCGTTCATTAAAAGTTCTCCGTTACTATTAATAGATAGGCTGGTTTGTTTGATATGAGTTCCTTATCCATGCATGTAGACTAATCATTATGGGCACTATGAATTTCTTGCTTCTACTAATATGTGAATTATAGTGTTGTATGGGTTTCCTATCCTTGCATGCAGGTAGACTACTTATGTATTAAGAATCTCTTATTCATTTCTGTATGTAATACATGTGTTCTTCACAAGTCCACTGTTGTCATTCACGAGCAAGATATCATGATTGTTATATGTTTCTTGTTATTTCCTGTTTAATTTCACAAATTTTATTTTAAAATAGATCTTTTATTAAAGTTATTAACATTGGTTTAGTTCCCTATAAAGTCATTCATTTAGAAATGTATTTTTATTTCACTTTCAATTGTGCGGGTCAATTTAAATTTCTAAGTCCAATTATTATTCAGATGAAATTTCAACACTCTCGGAGTCCCCTCCCCACAAAGAGAGGTTGGGCCCTTCAAATCTTCCTGACTAGATAGGATTTGATGACCGAGGGCTTCAAGATGCTGACTCGTTCCAATATAAGTCTTTGATCTTCAATTTGTAATGATGTATATTAATTTGATTTAAAAGTACTCATTTTTATCTCCCTTGAAAACCCGAGAGCCTTTTAGAACCGTTGTCTATGAAGGTAGGTTGGGAGGGCACTTGCACTTTTAAATCAACCCGGACATATAGGATTTGATGGTCGAGGGCTTCTGGATGTTGAAAGGTTTTGACATATGTCTTTGATGTTTAACTGAAGTACTTGCTAATTTAATTTTTTTTTCATTTTCCCTTAAAATCTGATAACCTTTCAGCACCCCCTCGCGAAAGGAGGTTGGGAGGACACTTGCCCTTTTAAATCTACCAGGCCAGATAGGATTCTATTTGGGTTGACTTGATGGTGTGTTGAGTGTGTATGTGGGATGAGTCAAACAGATGTAGGAGATAGGGTCGGGTGTGGGTAGTAGGCAAAAGATGGGATCAAATCAGTCATCTGCATGTGGCTACATGCGGGCTGGAGGTCTCGTGTGTATGATGCCTGCGGTGGGTCAAGGGATCAGGCTAGATTGACATGCGACAGAACAAAGTCAAGTCAGTAGTGAGTCTGATCGAGCGGCTAAGAGGGAAGAGCGGGAGCTGGAAGGCTAAGCCGCGTGCTTGAGAGATGGGGATCACGTGAGATCGGAGGAAGCGGGTCGACGAGTGATTAGGATGATGGATTCCTGTGTGTGGCTTTGAGTAAGGATTGGACTGGGGAGTTTGGGCTATATATTCCTATGGCTAAAATAGATGAGAGGAGGGAGTGCAACTGTGGTTTCTTGTCTTTGGCATACCGAGGGATTGAGAGAGAGATCATGAGTGCAGCTACCTGAAAATAGCATATATTTCTTTTGATGGACATCTATGACTATATTTCCTTGCATATGCAATATCATGATCATTTGCATGTCACAATACTTAGAGCATTAGAGGATATGACAGACCTAGCTTGCTCCTATTTTTAAGGACCTCTACATCTACTAGGTAGGATGCTAAATAAACCAAGTCAAACACGATATCATTTTGTTTGTGCTTCTTGTTTATTTAATTAATTGGGCCTAAATTTTTATATCTTTTTCCCAATCTGTTTAATGATTTTCTTATCATAATTGAGTAGTAATCAAGTTTTAATTGAGACTAAGGCTTTGTTAGGGACAACTTTCTTATTTTTTTTTAAACTAGTCTTTTAATAAAAAACATTTTGAACTAAATTTTTTCAATATAAATGAATGATTTATTTTACCATTTAATTGAGAAATGCTACTTCTACCAATAATGTCAACCTAAAGTTAGTCCAATAATTATTATTCAAGCCTAAGGCTGATGTTGATAAAGCAACAATAAATATTGAATGCATGACTTGGATCAAAGGGTTATTAGTATGAATGACTTGAATCCAGCTAAAATGAGACAATTATCTTTTTAAATTATACCTAATTACTCATCTTAAAGTCTAGTATTTATGAAAAATATTAACATTCCAATAATTAATCTTAAGGACGTAAATGTAATTGGACAAGTATTTGTCAAGCTTGCTCTTCTCAATTACTTGTATTATAGATCTCATAATTGAAAATACTTTTTTACTAACTACCATACACATGTTGGTGCTATCTTATTATTTAAGAGAAGGTTGAGTGTCAAAGGCACAAAATGATTTGTACTTATTTTATGATGTTGAAAATAATTTTAGGTAAAGAGGTTAGTAAAGCATTTTCTTCTTAAGTTGCTATGATAGTGACACTACAATATAAGAAGAATTTTATGATTTGGCAATTCAAATAATCAAAACGATTAGACTAAGGTTTTGTTAGAGATACCTTTTTTTTTGCTTTCTAAAACAACTTTCTACTATACAAACTTCTTGAATTAGAACATTTTGTAGTAGAAAATTATTTTAGAAAGCATTAAGAAAGCTATCATAAACGAAACTTAAGTTATAATCTATCATCAAAATAATTGACATAAAGGTTTGTGATTAGATCATACAGATTAATGTCTTTGGGAGAGAGATAAGATGATTCCAAGTAATAAGCAAAAGTAGTACATCAGTCTTTCAATTATCATTCGTTTATGCACTCTAACAATTATCAACTTTATTTTGTGATTATTAGTTTCAATGAACGAACTTCGCCACTGGGCTAATTTGTTCTCAAAAGATATTTCTAAATTTTATAAATATGTGGCTTCAAAATAAAGTAAGCATAAAAACCATTTATTATACATTTGAATCTTTATTTTATAATTAGAACCTTAATGGCTTAATTAATAGGAGATTAACTTTTAGTTTATAATGAGATTTTTTTAAAATCTTCATTATATAACATTTAACATAAAGGAGTATCACAAAATTAAGTATTGCAGGGATGAGAATGTTTAGGTGGATGAGTAACTTTTCATAATGAGATAGTATTCGAAACAAGCACATACATAAAAAGATTAGAGTAGGTCCAATAACAGATAATAATAGCGAGAGTCATCATAGATGATTTGACAACATAAAATATTAGTCTTCGATCATCAAATTTGCATAATATATGTATTAGATCCGACCAAAGTTAAAAAAGACAGATATTTCTAAAAAAATTTGGTTATAAAATATTAGAAATGCATTTATTTATTAGATTTAAATGAGAATTTAATTTTTAATAATATACAATAGAGAAAATAGATTCATGTAGCTAACCCTGTGTAGTAGAATAAAAGCTTAATATTTTGTTAATTATGTAATACATATCTTGAAGTAAAAAATTACATAAGGCATAAAGATGAGCTTCAAAATCCTTGAAAGCATTTATATTAATTTTATACATGATAACTATCATATTAAAAATGAAGAAAAAAAAGAGTTTTGCTTTTAATTTTGACAACTTAATCATCATTTCTCATAAATAAAAAACATCAAGAATGTGATGATAATGCATGCTACACTAAATATTTATAATAAATTAAAATTAATGCAATAATTAATAAAATAAAATTATCATTCGATTCATATCTTGCAAGTCATGATATATTCTATTGACAATATTAAAAGAACTTTAAATATGAAAATATTTTCAAAAACACCATAAGGAGTAAACCCAACATGAACAAATCATCAAGATCTATTGAAGTTGAAATGCTAAAGGTCTCTTAAAATTTAACTCTATCAATCTAAAAAAAACTGAGTAATTTAGACCAACAACCACTCATGGTACAGTTACCACTGATATTCAGGAAAGGACCCCATTCCCAAACTCAATCAGCCATATGCAGGCATTGGTAAAAGCCACAGTTCATTCTAAGGGCTTTATGTGGGACAGCTTTTATATTATTTACTAAGACTTCGTTTGGGGCAGCGTTCTTAATGTTTTTCGTAAGCTGTTTTTCAGCACAAAAATTTTTAGCTCAAAAAATTTTTGTACTAAAAAGCTATTTTATAAAGCAGTCCCAAACAAAACCTAAAGCAGGTTTTTAACATAAAATTTTTATACTACAAAGTTGTCTTAGAAAGAAGTAAAAAAGTTATCACAAACTAATCCTAAATGTCGGGCATGCTTGTATATTCAGCATGTGAAAAAAGGCTGGTATTTTCAGTATCTCAATTCAAATCAAATAAACGGGTCGAAAATAAAGCAGTTTTATGATAAAAGGTTAACCAAAACCTTCACTATATGCAAAAAGGAGCAATCTCGCTCAACCAAGCCATCCATTGCACAGAATAATGGGTTGATAAATGGCAAAGAAAGGGATTCATTCCCGGAAAACTAAGCATTTGCTTGCGCATTCCTTTGTACTGAACACTGCTCTCTACCGAAGATAACCTTCACTAGACTTTAGTCAGAATTCAAATTCTTCAACATAGCAGGACAAAAAAATACACGTAAGGCTTCTCATATCTAACAAGAGATCAATCATTAGTCACCAAAAAAAAAACTTGCCTTTATGGAAGCGAGGCGAAGAGGAACAGAAGATCAACTTTGTAAGATACAGAAAAAACTTGACACAGCGATCCACAATGCAGATTATAAACTGCAACTGTACTTTTTGCTGGATTATATGCATTTTGCATCCAGAAAGAGAACTTGCCAGCGATATTTCAAGAAACTACACTGATTGCCTGGCACCAGGAAAAGTCAGCAGCACATAAAATGTATCACTTCTTAGCCTCTTGTGACAGAAGCTCCATCTGCTCAGTGAGATGTTGCATGTGGTGAGTACTGTCCCAGACATTCTCCGTTTCTGGTGTCATGTCGCTGGTTTCCTGTATGCTCGAGTCATCAACTTGCTCGGCAACATCACCGGACAGTGAACTCTCCATGAGGAACTGCTCCCAGAATGAATCATTGATACAAGGAAGCTTTGAGTCATCACCAATGGGGATGTCAATCTCTGAATCGAGAGAGAAGTTCTCAGTTTCAATTGGAACTGATTCATCAACTACTGCAAATTCACCAAGGAATATATTTGGTTCTAGTGGCGCAAAGGCATCAACTGCAACGTCAAGGTGGTCATCAGTAGGCATCATTCCAGGAACCTTCGTGGATTCATGAGCGCTCATGTTTGTTGAGCTAGAAGACATGGGCTCTGGAACAACAGAAAGCAAATCGATATCATGGATTCCCGACGTTGCTGGTATGTCCGCAATGCCTGCGGAAGATGGATGAATTGCTGGAAAACCAGAGCTTTGTGGTAAGTAAGGAGGCACAGAGGTGGCTGGAACTTCCTTGAGGGTGACCCATGAGTTTCGATTTTCAGAAGCACTCAATCCGTTATGTGAAGAGAAATTATCAATAAGAAAACCCTCAGCATTGCCCCGGGATTCTAGCATGGGAGATGAGTCGAGCTTGAGAATCTGCATTAGCAAAGATTTTGCTGCCTCAGTCATTAGGGGCTGGTACTTGATTATTTGACCATCTGGGGAGGCACTGCTCTCACCTTCTAATTTGTTTTCTTGCTTGGGTAACCTTCGTTTTTTGCCAACTCCAACAATACGACGGTTGCTGTCATTTTGCTGCACTATTTGCGCTAGGAAACCAGGACTCTGCATGGCCTTGGCCAAGAATGACATCATCTGTTGCTGACGCTGTTCCATTCCTTGTAGTCTTTGAGTTAGTGTTTGTAACTGATTATCCGTCCCCTGCTGTTGATGTCTAAGTCTGACCAGTTCTTGCATGAGAACGTTCTTGTCCCTTTTCAGCCTCTCGATCTCTTCCTCGAGTCCAAACTTTCCCACCTCAACACAAGCTCCTAAAGCACTGCTGGGTGTATTTGGGGGCAGCATCTGCTGCTGAGAATGAGCACTGGAGGGTTTTCTCCTGTTAATGTTCTTCAGCAAATGCTTTTGGCCTTTCAAAAAACCCTCATTTGCAAACTCCCATTTATCGGGGTCAACTTTCCTGAAACCCTGATCAGGAAATAGAAAAATATCTTGATAAAAATACCTGAATGAAGACAATTACTGTAGCTTAAGCAGATAAAGAGGACAGGTAAGATTCATATATAGCTTAATGAAAATATATGTATCAGAATATGACAGGACTAACGCACAAAGCTTTATTGTTGCTTATTTTTTTGTTATCCAAACCCATGAACTCTAAATCCAAACAAAGATGGATCAAATAATTAAAAAAAAAAAAGAAGAAACTGGAAGAGCTGAATCTAGTAATAATCATTGCACTAATGTCTCAAGGAGGCATCATTTAACAAGGAAACCTGATTGCTCCCAACATCTGTGCCAATCTTTATACATCAAACCTAAGATCGTATTAAGGTTTCAGCAAAAGCAATTGAAGCAGTTCCAAATGGAATTGCTGCTTAATTTTAAATATTCTAAAGTTCCACACGTGGCTTAAGAACCCGTCCGCAAAGAAACATACAAAAAAAGGAACTGTTTCTCGTGTCACTACAGTGATTTTGTTTCAACCATGAATATAAGTTTTCGATCTTAAAAACAATTTCTACCAAAGCAGATTATTACGGCTGATCCAGCAGGACCGGTCCTGTAGCTTACCCAACAGCTAGGGGGCAGACTAGCTACAAGGGGTGGAGGGGCTGAAATTTCCGGCCGCACTTGTGGGGCCAAGTAAACCAATTATTCCATATGCTACGAGGATGATTAAAGAATGAACTAGTGAAGGAAATTTGAATTCAAAAGAGGAAGGGAATTAATTAAGATAAGAGAGATTTTTTAGGGCTAAATTGGAGGGAAGAGCAGGGGCTTATATAGGAATTATTACTTTATATTAGGGTATGTTTTATTAAGAATTTGTTGTAGTTTCTTCTGTGAGGGCTTCCTAGCAGCGTCTAGGTTGATTGATAGAGACAATCTACTTCTCTAATTGTAGATCACTTGTACCTTTTATTTCTTGTTGAGTTATTAATCAAAATCAACTACTATTTCCTCCAAAATCTATTGTTTTCTACTGTTTTTCTGTGGATTTCCTGTCGTTGTTTGCTGAAATTTACTCCAAGGCGTATCAAATTGGTATCAGAGCGATGTCCTCGGCTGAAAGTTAAAGTCCCCATTGCTATTTTCTGCTGAACTTTTTTTCCACCTTGCTGATTTTCGCTGTTGGAGGCCAAAATCTGTGAATGACAGCGAAGAAGATGGGAGCTTTGGAAAGCAAGATGGAGCAACTTAGGGCCGAGATGCAAGAGAAACATTTCGGGATGGAAGAAAGATTTTCCGAAATGGAGGGAAGGTTTTCCTTCATGGAAAGCCGTTTTGGAAACATAGAAAGCATGATGAAAACATTGATCAAGATACAATCAAAGACTTTGCCGGCTACTCCTAGGATTGATTGGAAAGGGAAGAAAGTTTAGGAGGATGATGAAGGGGAGAGTGTCTTCATTCAAGGACCACCTCGAGGGATTTTGAGGGGATGGGTATCGGGGTATCTAGAAGAAAGGGAAGCAGGAAGAGGAGAGACCGAAGGAAGCAATGGTGGTGCCGAACCATGGGGTCCAAATCCGTTGAGGGAAGAAGAGAGAATCACACCACCACTATGCGGGAGGAGCCAACGGTGGAATAAGCCATTGGGGTATGAATGCAAGATCGAGGAAGCAAAAGGTGCTGTTCTTTGAAGGGGAGGGAGGATGCTTAGGGTTGGGTATATCGGGTGGAACGATACTTTGCAATCAACGGGCAAACGAAAAGGGAAAAACTCATGGCGGCAGGCCTATATTCGGAAGGGAAAGCCTAAGCCTAGTTCCAATGGAGGGAGGCTAGGTATCAGATCTACTCATTAAGAGAATTTAAGGAGTGCTAGTTAGAACGTCTCCGAGCCATTCGAGAAAGAGACCTCCACGAGTTATTCTATGCTCTAACTTAGGAGGGGATAATTATGGAGTACCGGGAGAAGTTTGAGCTGCTGTTGGGGAGACTGAGGGGGATCTATAAGGAAGGATTGAAGGAGAATTTCAGGAAGGGGCCTATGAAGGACATACAGGCAAAACTCAGGGTACTGAGGTCTAGAGGGCTAAGAGAGACGATGGAGGTAGCACAAGGGTGGAGGAGAAACATAAGAGGGAAAAGGCCAGCCGAAGCATCCCCATGGGAGGGGCTTACAGGAACACCTCTACTACCTTGGCACCAAGGACCAAGATAGTGTCATTTTAGAGGGATGCACCTAAGGAGAAGAGCACAAAAGTTCGTCCTAGAGGAAATTTCAAGTGAATCACAGAAGCAAAAGTGCAGGACAGGCGGGAGAAAGGGCTATGCTTCAAGTGTGGTGAGAAATTTACACCAAGGCATAAATGCAAGAATCGAGCCCTTCAGGCCTTGATGATCTATAGGGGGTAGAGGAGAGCGGGGAGGAGTTGGAGGTATTGTAGGAGACAGAGCAACTGCATTTGGATGTGGAGGTTGTAAAACCCGAAATTCGTCGTTTGAGTGCGTAGCATGCATTTCAATGCGCCGCAACGAACTTAGGCAAAATTTTAATGTTGTCGGAATTCGACGAAATAAATTTTATTAAATTCGTCACGAAATTTTGATCGAAACGATATAAAGAACTTATATCAAATTCCGCATGGATTTGAAATTAAAAATCACCGAAGATGTTTAAGTAAAATTTGCCCTCTTATACCATACTACCCCTCATGAGCTCTTAAGAAAATTTGATTAGCATGGGTACATGCGTAATAAGCCACTTAAGAGAAATCCTTTAAGACCCTCATCCTCCTAGAGACCGATCCATTCATTCCCTCTTGTTTCTTCGGCCGCACGCAAGAGAGAGGGAGGAGAGGCGACGGGAGGGCTTAGTGGGCGGTGAACAGCAGCTCTCCGGTGGCGGAATTAGGGGGAAAACGAAGGAAAAAGGGTAGGAAAGATAAAGGTAAGCTTCACATGCAAGAATAATGGAGTTTTCTCTTAGTTTTCTTGAGAAAGATTTTTAGGGTTTGGATTTTCTTGATGATTTCTTTAGAAAAATATTAGGGCTTGATATTGCTCACATTTCTAAGCTTTAAAATCTAAGTTTTTGCTTAAGGAAACATAAAATCCGAAATTAGTGTTTCTCTTTTTTGATTTATTTTTGTATGGAAATGTTAGAAGATTTGAGGGAAGGTGTTTTTGAAGCAAAATGCAAATGTCCTTCAAAGGATTTTAAGTTTCAACATTAGGGCTTTTCCTAACCTAGGGTTTTTAAGCTTGTATGTTCACAAAAAATATTCCTAAGGGTTTAGGGAAGTCTCTAATTAAGAGAAATTGATATTTTGAGAAAAAAATAATTTTTCCAATTATTTTTATGATTTATTCCGAAAGTTTACATTTCATTTTGCTTTTATGAATCTTTTATGTTTTATATCCTTATGTAATTGATTTAATTGATACATGTCATTCCATGTTTAAGATACATGTCCATGTTTAAGATAAAGATACATGTCACTCCATGTTAAAGATACATGTCACAAAATGTTTAAGATGCATGTCACTTCATGTTTAGGAATACATGTCAAATAATTACTTCATGTTACATGTCACTTCATGTTTGAGATACAAGTCTACTATACATATGGTAAACATGTCAAACATTTACCTCATGTTTGAGACATATGAAGTTATAAGGAAAGAAGTTATACTTATATGGAAAGAATATGAAAATGCTTGTGCATGATGATTGCCGAGTACCAAATACGGTGCAAAAGCACTAATATGACTCTTATGAGCAATATGGGAATAATATGGCCCTTTGGGGCAAAAGAGGAAAAGAAATAAATGGCCAAAAGATGTTTGTGTACCTGATCAGTACACCCCTGATACTCCGGTACGGTTGTATATGATAAATAAATAAGCATATGATATGACATTCATTACATGATATATATAAGACATATGCATATGGCATACATAAAATATCTATCATTTTAAAGACATAAGAAAGCATGTGTAGGAAAAAAATCAAAGCATGTCCCCATTAGTTTAAAAAATGTAAATTTTATTTTATAAGACATGTGAACATGTTAGGATTAGAAAATTCCTATTGAGTGTTAGCTCACTCTCTCGTGCTGGGATACTTTTCAGGAGAACCTGCTACAAGAGATGGCTGACAACCCAAGGTTTACATACAGCCGTCGTGTACCGGTTGACAGGTTCTTTTATATGTTTTCCTAGCTATAGTTAGTTTTTCTTTTGGGTGGTTTTGGCATGAATTGTCTCATTTTATAACCACCTTGTATATGAACTCTCTTTTGAAATGGCTTGTAATGTTAAACATATGTTTTGGAAAAAGGTTTAGAGGCACTTTTAAATTCATATTGAAGTCTTTTAGAATTTTTATACATGCAATATGATGATTGAACAGTTCTGAACGTACGATTCCATTCCCGCCTCATCTATACGAGCTAACCGGGCCAGGTCATGACAGAGGTGTCCTTGAACTCTATGGTAGGATTACTCCAAATCACACCATGAAAGCAAGAGGATAAATTGAAGAGCAATAGGTGGTAGATCTGACAAATAGCGGAGCCACACATAACTTCATCTCAAATTGGGTGGTGGATCGATGGAGGTCGAAGTTAGCGAGGACAAAAGGATGTCAAGTGATGATGGGCACACGCAAGATATAGAGCATAGGAATATGTAAAGGGGCGGTGATGGCCTTACATGATATTTAGGCGGTGGATGATTTCTTTACCTTATACTTAGGAAGTATAGATGTGACTCTGAGGAAGAACTAGTTGGATATGAAGGAGAACTGAAAGTCCTTGACCATGGAGATACAGGTCGAGGGAAAATGGTAGTGCTTCAAAGGGATGCTTGCTTATGCTAGACCATGGTATCTTTAAAAATCATGCTCAGGACAATCTAGGATACATGCCTGGGATATTTGGTAGAGTTGCAAAGCATAAAAGGGGTCCAAGAATAGGAGGCAAGGGAAATTCTAGTAGGGGCCCAACAGACTC